CACGAAGAGAAGTTGCCTTTATGCCGCGATGTCTGAATTTGGTATCCCCGCGAAACTAATACGGCTGTGTAAAATGACGTTGAGCAATACCACCAGCTCCGTCAGAATAGGGAAGGACCTCTCCGAGCCGTTTGATACCAAACGAGGTTTCAGACAAGGGGACCCCCTTTCGTGTGATTTCTTTAATCTTATGTTGGAGAAGATAATAAGAGCCGCAGAACTGAACCGCTCAGGCACAATACTTTATAAGAGCGTACAATTGCTGGCGTATGCCGACGACATCGATATTATCGGTAAAAACAAGGGCTACGTCTGTTCTGCCTTCTCGGGATTGGATAGAGAAGCAAAGCGAATGGGTCTGGTGGTGAACGAGGACAAAACGAAGTATCTCCTGTCAGCACACAAACAGTCAGAGCATACGCGTCTTGGCACCCACGTCACTGTTGACAGTTACAAGTTTGAAAAAGTAGACGACTTCGTTTATTTGGGAACCAGCATTAACACCAATAATAATGTCAGCCTTGAAATCCAACGGAGAATCACTCTTGCCAACAAGTGCTACTTTGGGCTGAGTAGGCAATTGAGAAGTAAAGTCCTCTCTCGTCGTACAAAGATCACACTCTATAAGTCACTCATCATGCCTGTGCTGGTGTATGGCGCGGAAGCATGGACAATGAAAGCATCTGATGAGGCGGCTCTTGGAGTTTTCGAGAGAAAGATTCTGCGAAAGATTTACGGACCTTTACGCGTTGGTGATGGCGAATATCGCAGACGATTTAACGATGAGCTGTATGAGCTTTACAACGATATAGACATAGTGCAGCGAATTAAAATTCAGCGGCTCCGCTGGCTTGGCCATGTCGTTCGGATGGACAGAAACGCTCCTGCTCTGAAAATATTCAACGCGGGCCGCGATGCTGGTAACAGAGGAAGAGGAAGGCCTCCTCTGCGTTGGAAAGACCAGGTGGAGAAGGACTTGGCTTCACTTGGCATTTTCAATTGGCGTCAGTTAGCACAGAAGAGAAATGACTGGCGTGCTGTTTTGGACTCGGCCAAAATCGCTTAGGCGGTTACAGCGCCAAATAAGAAGAAGAAGAATACCAGGGGCTCATACATATGGACACACATGTGAAGTAACAAGTTTTCTATTTCTAAGCAGAACATTATTTTGTATACATTTTTAAAAATCTAGTTTGTGAATCTCAAAGGCTTCTACAAACGAATTAAAAAATGCTACAAACAAATGCATGCGCCCTGCAAACCATTTTTTCGGAGTATTCTGCATTGTAAAGAAATTTGAAAGAATTCGTTAAGATTTAATTCGATCTTTTGCCGAATTTTCTAAAATGAAATAAATTACGCACGCTTCCATTCTTTTACGAAATTTCGGAAGAAAATCTGTGAAGCAACGAAAATAATGGTGCTATGTGAAGAATATCTTTCAGAAATTTTCCAGAATTTTCTTTATTTTTCGTACATAAATTACTTTACGAGTTCGTGTTAACCCCTTCATATAATTTTCTTTGAAAATTCGTAAAAAAAATCGTTACAGGGATGAGATACTCCTAACGATTTCCTTAAGATTTCGGGAACTTTGGTTTGCAGGGCGTATGGAAAGTTTGCTACTTCATATGTATGGAGCGCCTGGTATTGGGAAATGAAAATATCGTATTGTAAAACTAAAAATTGGTTCCACAGTATATACAGTAATAAAACCTTTTGAGTACTCCTCGGGGGTAAAATCTGATCAGGGTTGTTAATGAGAAGGAGCATGAATTTTGTTGATTCAGAGTTGTATACAAAATTACTGTGGTATGAAAGGGTGCAACAACCGTACTATGGCAGAGTGGCACAAGTCATGACTGTGTAATAGTGCCCGAAACTAATTGCAAAAGTGAAAAACATTGCAAATTATTGTTATTATTATAGATACTAGTACATTATATTATCATAGTTCAGTGTATAATTTGTTATATTACACCGTACATGATAATGAACTGTTAAATGCTGAAAACGCTTGTAACTTGTAGATCACTCAAACTTGGGTGTGCTTAATGGACTGTGTGGGCGGATGCGCTGGCGGGCATTGGGGTCTGTATAGCTAACAAAGACTTAAATATATTCGGAAATTTAGAATTTGGCTTGATAAAATCACAAAATTTACGTTTTTCATAAAAATATAATCTTACAATGGACTTTTTTTTTATATTTTAAACTTACATTTAAGAAAACTGCATTTAAGAAATTACGATTTGAGCTTTCCAGTTTATAAAACACAAGCGTTAATTATGCACTTAACTATTGATATTATTTTTCATTAAGCATGAATATCAGCATACATTAAAGATGAATATTATACTTAACCTACATTTTGTTCATAAATAACACATAATTATGTATAGTTTATCCTCGAAATGAACTTTTTCTAATCACGAGGCGAAATTCCCCACAGTAAGTGTTGCCGTGCACGAAAGCGCTGCACACAACCCAAAAGTACTCCTCGGGGACCAAATGGTGAAACACTGAAAAGGTTTATTACTGTATATACTGTGATTGGGTCTTTGTATAAAATTAGTCCACTTTCTTTATAAAAATATGCTGTTGGCTAAATATTTGGAGCGCCCTACATTGTTTCTCCATGTTTGTTATTTAACATAAGAGTCAGCTCTAACATTAACATTATGTAGCATTAAACGAAAACTTCCAAAAATACTCAAAAAATACTTGTGAAGGAACATCTTTTTTGTGGAAGTTTAACAGCATGGTACTGCTGATATATGTTCCTCTCTTTTTAGGAACATAATTTGTTTGAGTACTTTTTTTATGTGTACAGCGCTCAATATCTTCACTTCTCTTCCTTCCATACCCTTTTTGATAGAGTAGGAGTAGTTTACATATTTGAAGAAAACTTCACAGTGAGCAAACTGAATTCCGATGCAGACCTTTAGTATGTATCTGTAATAAAATAACAAATACGATATCGTAAACATTTGGCTTGACACAATTTTTATATTAGTTTAACTAAATTTGACTTTACAAACAAGCTAAAACCTTCTTAAACCTCTTTCGTCTGACCCTCATATGGTGATACCTATCTATTTCAATTACCTGATTCCTTTAATTCAAAAGGAATTTTACCTTTGAAACAGGTGGCAACCCTCTAGTAGTTAAGAAATTTTCGAACACATTTCGATTGATGCCCACCTCTTAATAGGTCATTTAACTTAAATAAAAAATCTAATTTAATTTTTTAACAGGTGGCAACTCTTTAAAAAAAAAACACCTCTATTCTCTACAGGTCGGCTTTTAATCTGACACTTCATTTTTGAAAATAGAACGAATCGTGCGGATCTGATGGCACTGACAAAAAATGATTTTATGCATTAGCAAAAAACGAATTACTGCAAAAAGTCTAAAAATTAACAGGTTTTTACTTCTTCTTTCGAAAGCTTAAACCCCGTAGAATAATAAAAAATAACATGTTTTTACACATATTTTTTATTCATTACATTAAATTTACCATTTTTTAATTTTGATTTAAAAAAAAAATGGTTTTTCTGGAATACCGCCGGGACACCCTGTGTTTATTTTTATTCCTGTACTATCCATATGGAAATAAAAAACGTCAAACCAACATTTTAGCTCTGATCCAATACTTTTCGTGTAAAATCCTGTAAAAATGTCAAACAGCAAAATTACTCTCTGAAGTGAGAGTAAAAAGTGAGTAACAACATAAAATACGGGAACAAAAAAATAATAATTTTTCCTTTAAAACCGTCGCTTGACACTTTTCATGATTTTACCATTTCGGGTAAAATCTTGCAACTTCATTCTCTACACAACTCTTCAAAAATCGCTCTCATTTACACGATTTTGGAATTTGGAGAACGGGATCATTTTTCCTGTAACTTCCTGCAAGTTCGTGTAAAAACTTGTAACTTCATGGAGTACTGGATCAGAGCTTTTATTTCAAAGAATGTATTTTTGACATTTGTTTCCGTAAAGAGCTTGCGCATGGCTATGTTCTTATTAAAATTCTTAGTTTAAATTTTTTCAACTTTGGTGACTTCCTGGCAGCATATAACTTATTTTATAGAGAAATTTCTGCTTAATATTTTTTAGTGGATAAATTACCTTTACAAAAATACCAAACACGTTCACATTGCAGTCAACGAATTTTTCGATTTTTGCCCAAATAGGCGACTCTGTGCGGCGCTACCTTTTGATATACATATGTACCTAATAAACATGTTTGTTAAATTCCAATTTGAGATGCATTTGAGAATCAGTCCTTTTCTCAAATTGCAAACGTTAAATCTCAAATGCATCTCAAATAACCGTTGATAGCGTTCTCAAACTAAAGAGCACTTTTTTAATATGAAATTTTCCTTTATTTTCAAATTGAGAAATGTTGCTTTCTGATCTGGAGCGGAACGAAATGAAACCCAGTTACTCTCATTGAAATATTTGTATAGTGTTGCCAATGATATATGTAAGAGAGTCACAGTTTTTATAGGAAAGGAATTTCTATTTATGCAGTTTAACAGTTTATTTAATAGCTTATTTATTCAGTTAGTTTAACAAAGAAAAATACGGTTGATGTAAAAAATTAGTTGCATAGTTTATTTTGAAATTAAACAAATTGCAACAATATAGCAGACTATCGATGGACTTCTACATCTGTGCCATGTTGACACAGATGGAACGGAACGGAATGCTAACAATTTTTTTTCAAATATTTCTCAAACCGTTCTTAAATTGATAAACAATGTTTGAGAAAATTTTTAGTCTCAAACGCTTGAAAATTTTTGTTCCAGTGTTTGTTGGGTATGTACGTATAATAATATGTATGTATCCGTATCTAGGAACCAACGAATATAATTTTTTAAATACAGCCATTATTAAATTTAACATAACTTTTTAATAGAAAATTTCAGTGCTTCTTTCAAGCTGTGCTAAATATACATGCGTGCGTCTTTATGAATTCGGTGCGATGATTGCTATGTATCGGATTTGGAAAGTTTTCCTAGTGGTGTTCCTTCTGAAAACTGCAAATATTGCAACAGGTAAGTAAAATGTCATGTGCTTAGAAAATACATGTATCTCTCTTTTGTCCGAACGTTATAGCTCAAAAATATAAGAATTGGGTTTTAAAGATTTAAGATGGGATTTCTGCATTGAATAAAAATAAATAATAATTAAAAAACATAACAAGTGGAATCTTAAAATTGAATTCAGTGGATCAAACTGTCATCACCCCTGGTCACTTAATTAGTCAAAAAATTGTTGATTTCTTGTAATGTAATTTCTAAGCCGCTGTGGTGTAGTGGTAAGCAGTGCGCGCTTTCACTCATCAGCAAACCCTGGTCAAAGCAACATCGCAAAAAATATAGAAAAAGGTTTTTTCTTAACAGCGGTCGTCCCTCGATGGCAATGGCAAACCTCCGAGTGTATTTCTGGGTGGGGTGCAACAAAGGCCATACGCAATAAAGCCATATGGCAATAAAGCCATATTTTTAGGCAATAAAGCCATATGGCTTTATTTCCAATCAGAAAGAGAAATAAAGCCATACAAAAAATTTTGCAAATGAGAAATAAAGCCATATTCTGAAATGACACTCTCAAGGCGGTGTTAACGGCGAATCTGAATTTTATCTGAACATTACGTCCAAATGATGTGTTTGTTGTAATTCATTATTAAATTCGCCTTGGACACACTCTTGAAACTGATATTGAATTATTTAAATTTATACAAATTATTACTAATAAAATGAAATAAATCATTATTTAATATTTCCGGATTTATTGGATATTGAAAAATAAATATATGTACTTAGGTAAGTTTTAATTTTGCGAGTGCATAACCTGGCGGGTGCACATTTGCTGGCTCCCCGCACCGCGCCGCGTGTGAAGGGTGGAGCGCGGGGGCCGGCGCAGCGCGCGCGGCGCGTGAACGGCGGAGCGCGGCGCGGCTGGACGCGAAGGAGAGTAATTGCATGTTTAAGGTGACGTTGTAGTTCAAGGCGGTTTAGTAGTTTTGTTGCGAACTTTTTCCATTGTTCAAATAAAAGAAACATAAAAATTTGAAAGCGAAATAAAGCCATATGGCTTAATTACCAATTGTAATTGGAAATAAAGCCATATCGAATTTATGGCCTTATTACCAAAAAAATATGGCTTTATTTCCAATATGGCTTTATTGCGTATGGCCTTATTGCACCCCACCGTATTTCTGCCATGAAAAACGGCTTCTCATAAAAATACAATCGCCGTTCGGAGTCGGCGTAAAACTGTAGGTCCCTTCGCTTTGTGTGACAACACCAAGGCGCACACCACAAATCGGAGGAGAAGCTCGGCCAAGCACTAACATATGTGTAAGCGCCAATCTAAAAAAAAAAAAAAAAATTGCTAACCAAAATGAGTAAAGTTGTAAGAAAGAAATTGAAAAAAGATGAATAAAACATACCAGACAGCCATTTCTGCGTACCTACCGTTATGACGTTCTTCCAGCAAACGAGCGATATGTGCATAAATTAGAAAACTGGTATATAATGTATGTATTTACATTTATAGAAATAAGCATAATAAATGAAATGTATAACTTTTTACCCTCTTTATTAAAACTTAAAATTTAGCGTGCAGAAACATGGCACATCTTCATCTTATTTTAATACAACAAATTTTTGTGGGCAATCCAAATTTGCTTGAATAACTACCTATTGATGCTGTGACCATCCGTCCCTTATTTTAACCCCTGTCCTTTATAATTTTTATTTTTTCTAAATAAAGGACGCCTTTTGTCCATTGTTTCTTAGGCTGTCCTTTAAATGAGCCCTCCATTTTCAGAGGTCAATTTTTAAGCAGATAATCTGAAAAATAAAAATGTCCCCTATAAAATATAAGTTGTGCACAGGTTCGTGTTACACGTTCAGTTTCCAGTTGCACTGAAAAAGAACAACAAACCTCCGCTGCCTTCGCCGTGTAATAGGATTTCTGATAAACGTATTTTGGCAGCAAAGGATGTCTTTGGTAAGGATTGGTCTCATTTTTTGGAATCGGCTAAAATCTGGTTACAGCGCCGTTCTAGAAGGGGAACTTGTACAATTAAATAATATAATTATCTGGTAAACATTTGATTTAAATTACGATATGGGTAAGGTACTTATATCATACAAGTTGTATGTAAGAATTCCCAAATAATTTTGAAAAAATGTCGTTTATTTTACGTTAATTAATATGATCACCGTACCCATTGATATATATTGATTTGTATGAATGTCTGCTCGAACGTATGTATGTATGTAAGCAAATAAATTTATGAGATTTATTAAATCGATTTTATCAATTAGTCCCAAATTCAACTGGCCCGCCTGAACTTTCCAAACTTGTAAAGCAAATATTGGCAAATCCTGTTCACTTGCAGAATTCGGACGAAGAAAAGTAAATTATTCTTATTGACTACATTGCTTTAGTTGTTAATACAATACAAACTAATGGCTTGTGGTTATCCAAAGTAAACAATACAAATTGACATCGAACGCCAAATCGGCAAAAGGAGGTATACTGCGGCGACAAGCCAAATAAAGAGCTACATACATATGTATGCAATTGAAAGACTGCAGCAATGGGATATTGTAGACATGAAGTGTGAATGCAAACTATAAGTACATATATACATATGTATGTACATACATACATATATCTACATATCGTCGCCTGGGTAAAAGATTGTCGTATGTTACGCATGTATGTACGTATGACGCTTACGACAATCTTTTACCCAGGCTACGATTTGTAGATAATAATAATAATAGATTGACGCTTACACATATGTTAGTGTTTGGCCGAGCTTCTCCTCCGATTTGTGGCGTGCGCCTTGATGTTGTCACACAAAGAGGAGGGGCCTACAGTTTTACGCCGACTCCGAACGGCGATTGTATTTTTATGAGAAGCTGTTTTTCATGGCAGAAATACTCTCGGACGTCTGCCATTGCCTGCCGATGAGCGACCACTGTTAGGAAAAAACCTTTTTTCTACATTTTTTTGCGTTGTTGCTTTGACCGGGGCTTGTACCCAGGCACTGCGGAGTGGAATCGCTCACTGCTTACCACTACACCACAGTTGCCGCCATATGTAGATACCCTACGGGAAATGTATCTAACTATAAGCTAACTTTAAGTTGATGTATATTTCCTTTGAGGACAGCTAACTATATTTGTATGGCGATGGCCGCGAAATAGTCAAGGGTGGTTACCTCTGCATTTGATGTAACTAACTACTTCTGGACATAAAATATCAATAGGAGAAACAAAATTTTATTTTTTTTTACTTTTTATTTATTTATTTATTTACTTTATTTTATTACATTTCATATATGAACAAATCTAAAAAATAGGTACACTCTCCAAAAAAAATTTTAATTTTTAAATTTGTGAGCACACCTATGTTTTATATATCATTTTATTCGTATTCTCTTAATAAATCGATTAATACAAGTGTAGCTCATTTTCATCAAGTGCTTCCAAACGAGGAATAAACATGAAATAAAAAACAAAAGAATAAGCTGGGTTAAAATTAAGTTGTTCAAGTTGTAAATTTTGAGAAAAGATTTTGATAGTTGAACTCACTTAATTGGGACGTTCTAAATTCAATGGCATCCCCCGTTTTACCAGATTGGCTCCGGTTTTCGAGATAACGGTATTTGAAAATTTGATCACATTTTAACTATTTTATAAATTACTCCCTCAGTTTTGAAGTTATTTTACTAAAATTTTGCACATAACGGGTTTTTAATATTACCTTAATTATTCCTTAAAAATCTCGAAATGGGAACACTTTAACATATAGCTCCAATACAACTGATTACTCATATATGTGTTTTTGCGCTATAACTCTAACTTCATGTCTGAATAATAAATTGTATGCATTCTATATGTTAAAGTGAACCTATACTAAATTTTTACCTGATTAATTGGAGGAGTTATAACGCAAAACATCGTCACTGTGTGTGCAAAATTTTAGTAAAATATCTTCAAAACTGAGGGAGTTTTTTTTATAAAATAGTTTAAATTTAAGCAAAGTAATAATCGGACAAAACTGAGGACGCCATTAAATTTAGAAGGCTCCAATTAAGTAAGAGCAACTATCAGAACCTTTGTCGAAAAAAATTTGATTTGATACCACGCTCGAAATATTCTGACTACAAGAAGGAGCATAATTTAAAGAACTAAATTGGGGTTTTTACACACTTCTAGAGAATATTTTTATGAAGCACTTTGCAGGTATATGCAACGTTATAAGGACTAGTAGTTATAAAAATATTTAGAGCGTTTCGACGTATTTTCCAAATGTGCCTTCAATTAAGATCTTTTTGGAATAAAAATTACGCTCAAGATCGCAGAATATTTTATCTTTAAAAGTTGGTTTATTCTGAAAGCCCATCTCTTGCTAAGGTAGCAAATTATTCGTAATTGTTTTTAGAATACAATACATACTTAAAAAGTTCTTAAAATTAAATGCTTTAAAAACTCGATAAACCGAAAATTTTGAAAATTGTGAAATGTGGAGTTACAGACTTTGAGTTACTTGCCGTTTCGTGATTTTTTAATGCACACTTTTCTTAACTACAGTGAAACCCGCTTAAGTACCTAACCCGCTTAGGTAACCAACATTTTTGGGCAATGTGAATTTTTGAATGTAATCTGAAGAAAATCCCTCTCTTAAGTACCTCCCCGCTTATTTACCCAACCCGCCTAAGTACCTCAATTTTTCGTACCCCATTTACCATTTTACCCATAATTTTCCCCTTTTAAGTGCTTTTTTAAAATTCGCTTAAGTACCCGCATCGAAGTACTTAAGCGGGTTCTTTTAAGTACCCAACCCGCCTAAGCGGGTTCTTTTAAGTACCCAACCCGCCTAAGTACCTCAAAAAGCTGACATTTTTCATGAGGTACTTAAGCGGGTTTTACTGTACTACATCTGAAGTATACACATAAGTGATAAATGCCCATTAAATTTCAAATCAGAATATTGTGTGCTTCAAAAGCTCTGACATAATTAATTTTGC